ACCACATACGCCCAGCTGTGTTCTCACCTGCTGTGACCAAAGCAACGGCCCAGTATCTATCCTCAGCCCAATTTCCCCCTCCATCAGACATGTATAACTGGCTGGGTGTGGTGGTACATGCCTGTAACCCCCCGCACTCAGGAGGCAGAGGCAGGAGGATCGTGAGGGCAAGGCCAGCCGGGACAACATAGTGAAGCTCTGTCAAAAGAAAATAAAAAGGAAGAAAAGAGAGACAGAGAGAAAGAGAAAGAAAAGAAGGAGTAAAGCAAAGAAGGAAGAAAATAGGGTAAACCGATACTTTGTCATCCCTTTGTCAATATTAAATGAGGTTGTCCTGAGAACCAATTGAAACTAGATGTGTGAAGTGCTGACACATAGCTGGTGCTCAATAAACGCTGAGATACCGTGATGAGACTGCACCCTGGGGACGCAGCCTGGCCAGACCGGCAGTCTGGCTCTGCCCCTTCTCAAAGGTGTGGGCTTGAACATTCTGCACATGTCACTATGCCGTGAAGGCCAGGACTTCAGAGAGGTAGACATTCCAGGGAGCATGGTCGGACCCCTTCCCAGTAGCTCATCTCTGCCCACACCCCGAGGGCCCCAGCTATTTGCAGGTACGAGCTGTGCTCCCTGCACTATTCTCGCATTCACTTCTGTGGGTACCCCCATAAATAACAGAAATAGCAGTACTGCTGAAGCATCTGGGCCACAGTAAGTGTGGCTCTCACTAACAACCAGAGGCCAGACCCGGATTGGGGAGCCGTGCTTACATTCCTCCCATGGGCTGGGTAATCTCACAGTAATCCCAGCAGGAAGGCAACTTGATGTCCAGCTTGCAGCTATTGTGTCATGCGACTTGACCAAGGTCTTGCCTATGGGGCAGCTGGTCTGGGACCACCAGGGCTTCGTATCATTTCTGGTGGAGTTCAGACATCACTTCAGGGCTTTGCACACTAGGTCGGGCTCCTGAGGATGGCCCAGCGGGTGCCACACGAGGTGAAGGAAGGAGCTGGGGGAAGGAGGAGGCCTCTGAGGAGACGCTGAGTTAAGGTGTCAGCTGATAGACGGGGCCAAGGTTGGGAAGAGGAACAAGGAGCTTAAGCCAGCAGGAGACAGAGCACCAAGAGAAACCCAGGCCTCGAGAGAAGAGGTGACATTTAGAGGGGCAGAAGGGTGAAGCCAAAGCAGGGAGAAATGGGACAAAGAGAGGAAAGACAGCAAGGGAGACAGGCAGGCTCCCTAGCTGGGACAAAATGCTTCCGCTAGTGTGCTTCCCTCCCCCCACAATTGGAAATGTGATGCTGTCGTACTCCCTGATGGCCCACAGCGCCTGTCCCTGGCTGTCTCTCTGTTTAGTCCCCCAAGGCAAGGGGGTGTTATGGTCAGGTGCAGCCACCCCATTCAGGCTGCGGCTGACTCCTGCCAGTGCCTGGGCACACCAAGGTCAAGGGAACTCAAGATCAAAGACCTTTCACAGCAAAGTCATAAGTGCACAGGGGCCCAGACAGCCCTGAGGTCAGGCAGGTGGATTTCAGCATGGCGGCATCTCCCTTTGATGCCTGGCAGCGCTGAGACCTTCCAGGGCAGGTTGTACCATTGTTCTGAGTCTCTGTTTTCCCACCTGTAAAATGGGCATAATAAGGATAATGGAGCACTTGCTCTCTCTAGGCAGGGGTTATGGTTTTATTGTGAGGGTTAAATGGCTATAGAGTACTTAGCACAGGCCCCGCCAGCTATAAGCTCTCAACCCTCTGACGGTAAAAACTTGAAAGCCCAGCCCCAGAGACAGAGGTAACCTAAGTGACTGAGGTCAGGCAACCTGAATCTTCCTTGACAAAACACTGCATGACCTCTCTGTTAATACTGTATCAACAAAACCACACTAACTAACACTAGCCTCACCTGCCTCCCTCTTCAGGGACAGGGGAAAACTTTGGATAAATTCTAAAATCCAGCTAGTGGCATAAGGGTGTAATGTCCCCTCTAGAAAATATTCCCAGCTCCCTCGGGCACCCAAGAATCCCACACTTCCGGTGGGGCGGTCCACGTTTTGGTAGCTAACCATTCTCTAGTAACTGGCTGGGTTGAGGGCGCCCCCTAGTGGTCCTGCAAAGATGCCTAGTGTGCTGTAGTCCCTATTAACTGGCTGGGTTAACAGCGCCCCCTAGTGGTCTTGCAAAGATGCCTAGTGTGCTGTGGTCAGTTAGCAAGTGTGGTTTAGTGTGGGGGGCAAGGCAGTAGGCGCAATGGTTCTTAGATTTGCCCCTGGAACTGTCTAGGACCCACCTACTGGATGGTTTTAGCAGCCACAAGGACCTCCTCAGGGCCATTCCAGACTAACAATAAGCATGATCCTTATTAACTAATGTGCACTAATATAGGTGTGCGCTGAGTGCTTTAAAGGCATTATCAACCCACCCTCTAATAACCTATGGGGCTCACACTGTTATTACAAACACTGATTTTACTTATGATAAAACAGGTTCAGAGAGGTGAGCCACTTACCTGGGGGGGTGGAGAGAACAGGCTAGATCTGCCCTGGGTCCTGCCACTCCCCCAGCTGGACTTCCTCCAGAGGTGATACGGGCGCTCACTGTGGGGACAGCGGTCCTAGGCTGTCTGGGGCTGGCCACGGTGTGGATCAAGAGCCTGTGGGAGCCACATACAGTATCTGCCGAGTTAGCTCCATTTACCCATGTGGCTGTGTTAGCCCCTTCCCTCTGGGCCTCAGTTAGCTCATCTATCAAACGAGAGAGCTAGTCACATCTCACAGAGGCTCTTCCTGCCTCTGATTCATTCCACCGCCAACCCCCTCTCCATCAAGCTGGTAGTCTTGCTTATGATGTATTCACTTCACAGCAGTCTAAACATTCTTTTTTTCTTTCTCTTTTTCTTTCTCCTTCTCCTCCTCCTCCTCCTCCTCCTCCTCCTCCTCCTC